AAATTCTACAGTATTTTACTTATGGCTATATGGTTTGTAGTATTATTATTAATGTATGTATATATAGACTATATAATATTATAATACATGTATATTAAATGTCATTATTGTATCTGGAAAAAACCTATATTTCAGCAGTACTCTGTAAGTTCTTTTAAAAATCTATTTATTTATTTAATGTAATATTGATAAGATATTAAAATTAATAGATAGCACCGCCTACAACAAATAATATATTCGGCTAAGTGATTCATAAAAATTGAAATATTTAACTAATTAGATGTACCTATGTAAAACGAACTTCGTATTTAGAAATTGGAGAAAGAAGGGACTAAATTAGGTAAAAACATCAAAGATATTTTATAATCTTCATAACGAGTGTCTAGCATACCTACACATATGGAATAGATTCGATTGGAGTGTAGGATGGGAGGGGACTTTGATTATGCTATAACTTGAACTTATCTGATATTTGTTTTTATTTACATTATTTTTCAATACCCAAGTATTAATTTAAGATATGTATTGGAATATTTTTCTCCTATATTAGTATTCATTATTGCAAATTGTCCAATGTATTTTTGTATGTAATCTATATATTATTTGCAATTTTAGATTCTGAGCGGAGCGATGAATTTATTTTCATATGTATTTTATTTTGTATTTTTTTTCAGTAAATTTATTAGCTGAAACTTTACTATTGTTTTTATTGTTGTTACATATTTGGCAGTGAAACAAATAAAAAGACAAAATTTCTCAAACAATTCATCATTACAAATGGAATTATAGTTTCGTTGAAAAGTGTCTTATATTGATCTCCGCCAACAACTAAACATTATCCATCCTCCCCTATTGTTACAAAAAGATCGATTTGTAAAATGGCGAAATATATTGCCTATGTCTACAATCAAGATATCTTGTCACTACTCTAATCGTGTCGCAAGGTGGTAATGCCTAGCTTATTTATAGTGACAGCGCCGTGACGAATGTTATACTCATAGAATCTCAACCAATCGATCTACCTAAACCGACCTTTCGTATTGGTGGTGACATTGAGCTAATCGTACACGGCTGAACATAAATTATAAATTCGCGTTTGTAAATATTTTTCTATTCCCGCATTAAAGAACGGAGGCCTTTAATCGAATGGTTGTGCATGAATTATAATGTAATTTATTTTCCACCTAATTATTTATTAGTTTAAGTGTTCTAAACACCTATAGAAGATCATTAACGTGTTTGTTTATCAACATTTAATATGAAATGAGAAGTAGAACACTCGAAAACATAACTCATTAATTAATCAATATTTAATTCCGCGTAGCTGAGTAACAATGCGCTGTGTAATGCACTGTATTATACTATTATAGTATATTGTATAGTTATACAAAAATAACGTAGACATAGATTATAATATTATCAATATATTTTTAATTTTTAAATAATTCCCCTGCATAGCATAAATTAATAAATATCAGCAAATATGTAAAATACCTATCGTATTTTGTGAACATTTATGTGAAATAATACATAATATATATATTATTACGAATGATATTCAATAACAGAGAACACGTGATAATGTTATGTAAACTTCATTAAATTAAATTTTGAATTCAAATGTAGGTATACAATGTATTTGTGGTATTGTGATATTAACTATTCAAGAAAAAAAAACACTAAGAAATTCGCTTCTCTAAGACGGCTAAAAAAATAATTTTTTGATGGCATAGAATTAAATCAATCTTGTAGTAAGCTTAATGGATGAAACCGGAGAAGTCGCATTGCTGTATAGTAGTTTTCTACTGTTCGTATCTATTTAGTGAATAGGTCATTGTAATATAATATGTGTTAGTTGGGATTCAATAGTAAATTAATAAATTATTGGAAATCAAAAAAATCAATTCCTAGAGGACAGTGTGTGTCAGATTATTTTTCAAAGGATATTTTATATTCTATTAATTTCATTAGTATTTATTTATATTATGGAGTGATAAGGTGTGATTTTAAACAAATATAAATTATAACAAATTAGGTATTCATCTTGTATTTGATTATGAGGATTAACTTATTAAAATTGATAATTTAATACATATTTATCTACATCCCTAATAAATTATTTTGCAGTTAATAAACTGATATCACATATTATGCCAACATTTTAAATTTAAACGCGTATAAAACAAAATAATGAAAACCAATTATTGATATTGTAATTTGCACAACGAAGATTTTATTGGTTTTACAATAATGTGAGTTTTTTTGTTGTGTCCGTCATCATCTCCGGATCAGTAAAAGGTAACCTATACATTATTGGTTTTAATCAAAATATAAAAATAAATAGGTTGGTAATGTTTTTATTTTTATGAATACACAATATAATATATTATAATATACTTGATTTGTAATTAAATCTAATAAAAATGTGTTGTGTACTAAACTATTTTTATACATATTCAAATCAAAAAATAATTTAAACTGAAGTAACGATAATTTCATAAGAAATATAGAATTTTTTTAGTAAATACAACAAACATATATCTATACATCATTCTTCAAATCGTTAAACTAAAATTGAAAGTAGTTGCATATTGGTTTAATTTAAATATATGAAATAAATGTGACTTCAACCAATAGAACTTATCTGCAGTGTGGTTCTAAGGTTATCATTACTGGATCTGCTCAATTATTATGAATGAATAAATAAAATTACATAGAAGAGATTTCAAACACCTATATTGAGGTAAATATAATAAAACTAAACTTGAAGGGTGTTAGCAACAGAAGTAAGCAAAGTGCGTGAAAAATCGTTTTACTCTAAAATCCAAATTGAAATAGGTTGCTAATACTGTGTAATAGCTGTTAAGCTTGAAATATTTTGAGAATTTGATTAAAGTTATTGGAAAGAATATGGAAGTGGAAATAAATGGTATTCACTGGCTAAGTTTTTGTTTTTCACAAACTTATTCTTAAAAGTTCACAAAATTTAACAAAAATACTCTCATAAAATATGTGTATTGTTTATACTTTATTCAACTATTTTTCAAGTTACATGTTGCATTAGAGTTTTATATTTCTAGCTTTAATTTTTAAATATTATGATTTGTTCGATTACAAATTTATTTACAATTTATACATAGGTAATTTTGTGTTATGCACATCATGCTTAATTATTGTAAAACGTCTAACTTAAAAAAACAACTATTTGATTTTATTCGTTCACCGGTATTCAATATATTTGCAACTATTTGAAACTAAAATAAATACATTAATTTTTTCATTAATGTTTTAAGGAATCGATGTTGTTTTATGTCCAAAGCACTGTAAAGAACTAATCGATTTTACAATTATATTTCCTGGTTTATTTGTTTAGTTCTCATTTGAACCGAGTTACCCCTTACCAACTATCATTTTGGCTTTATCTCTAAAATAAGCGAAGCAGTCTGTATTATGTTTCACAGTTTCCCATTCATCAATAGCTAGTGAACTGCAACTTGATTCGTTGTTATATTATTTTATTAATAAAGGTCTACTACTGTGCTTTTTGGTTTTCATTGATTTTCGTAACAAGCTTTCATGATTTATGGCTTTAATGCCTCATATAGAACTATTCTATCGATATTTGTCAATAGTATTTTAATTATTTACATAGTATTAATATTTTGTTTAACAAGTTATGAAATCGAATTTAACATTTTTGTATAATTCAAAATGATAAAATTTTTTTTATATTTTTTCTCTTTTTTAAAAGGTACTTATTTAGCAGGCATGTGGTTTTAAATTATTATTCGATTGATACAATAAATGCTTTGTATAAATAGTAGGTTAGTATTTCAATTTCTATGACTTTAACTAAATATTTATTGTTGTTGTGACGAAAATATAATAAGACAATTTTACTTTTACATTATGTAAGCAGTAGAATTCATATTATTAATATTGTTATTATATTATTATTTTTGTCAGATTTCTATAGGTTTTATTTATTTGAGAATACATTATTAACTATCAAATAATCTGAATATATACTATAAATTCTAAGACAAAAGTTGGGTTTGTTGTCTTTTAATATAATTAATTACCTACATATTTACATAAAATAGGTAGGTAGTTGAAATATTCTGAAATAGGTCTTCAGTTAAAATATATACATATTTATAAAAAATGTAACCAAAATATTATTTAGACTTACTAAAAATGTTATAGGCAATAGTATATGTACATGATAACATAATCAATAACGTTTTCATTAAGCTACAATTTAAAAGTTGTTGAAATCAAAATTTATGTCACCATACATATACCTCATATATATTATATTTATTAGGTATATACGATTTACGCCCCACCGATCTTTTTATAGGATAAAATAAAATATAAATATTATTGTTGCTTAATAATTCAACTAATAAGATTGAATAACTAAACTTACTACAAACAATTTCGATAAACCGATAATTGGTTACATAGTAGTTACTAGTTAGATGTATTAATATATTATAATTTAGGTATAATAACTCTTTGTTAGTTAATAACTCTTAGTACTTACTACTAACAACTTTGAATTATTGATTCGTGATAATAGACGAGATTTAAAAAAATCCTTATAATAGGTTTAACTAATAAAATTATTTCAAATAAAATAAATAAATACATTTGAATATAACTCGAAAAATTATTGTTCTTCTTATTAATATAAGGAATATCGTTGATTATATATTACATTACCATCAAAACTATATCATTTAATCAGTATACTTATAATAGCTTAAATTGTATATTTTAAATGAGGAAAAATCGTTCATAAATATCTTTTGTAGATATTTTTTTATATAATATGTTATTGTGAATACCAATATCTATGCCAGTATCCAAAATAAATCTGAGAAAGGAATCATAAAAATAAACCTTAACATATTCTTAAGGTGTTATAATATTACCTATTGTTGATGGATACGTACTGCTCACATTAAAAAAAAAACAGTATATTATAGACTTACTTTCGAGTATACTCCTGCACTGGCCAACTCATTCTCGATGACCATGATTATAATTCCAAACATTCCCATCACTAGAGCGTAATCACTGATTCTTTTTCGTTTTTCGAAAAGTGCTTTACGCCTACCCAGTCTGTATCCGACGTTTGGTTTGTGTTTACTGCCAGTTATATTACCACTGGAACCTACTAAGCTGGTACCCTGCAAAAAAAATCATACTCACACAACTGAATAAATTGAACATTTAACTTTTTACTTAACAATTAAATCTACAATTGATTCCAGTAGTATACTATAGTTGATAAATACTTAGTATAGAAACTCATCGATTTTAGAATCAGAAAATGTTGTTTTGATATTATCTTATATATGGCATTTAATTAGATTAAATAATATATATTTCAATGTTATGATGCATACAATAAAATTATTCTATTTTAGGTATATAACAAGAAGTGTTATAAATTCCGTGACAGTAAAGGTTTGGCAAGGTTTTTACCACTAAGAACCCGGGTGGTCACCCATTTGGGAACTAGTGGTAGTGGATGGTGCTTACTGTCAACCATGTTACTTGATTCACTGCTGCAACCATGCGACATGAAGCCATAAAGAATTTTATATTTGTTTTCAAAAAACGCAATATTAAATTTTATTATTCTATAGGTACTATATGGAATCAGGTTAATTTTTAATTTTAACATTTATATCTTAAAGTCAATGTATTCACATAATATATGATATAGTATGTATACATATTATATAATTAATTATAATTTATGCAATGAATCGCATGAGTGTAATATGTGATTAAATGATTTTCCGACTGTATTGATGTTTGATAAATATTATTGTCATGTCCCAAATGGCTTATCATTTTACATGCTAATAAAGCACTTGGGATATTGTCATAAAGAGATTGGTGGCATTAAAATGTATGGTTCGTCTGTTCTAACCGGTACTGTGAGCGGGTTTATCGATTCTACCAAAGGTTTCACTAGGTCTTCCAAACGATTTGTTGGAGCTTTAGTAAAGCGTCTATAAATGAGGAGGAGAATTCAGCTGTGTGGGTGCGTGGTATTTTATTATACTGCAGACACACACACACACACACACACATACGTATTTGTATGTAAGAGTAGAAGAGCGATGGAAACCGGGGTAAAGCAGATTTCTCGACCTTAATCCACTATACACACGCAGGATCTTAAGCAAATTGCGAGGAAGTAGAGACGCAAAAAGAAAATCCTCGATACTCCGGTAGTGATTACCTACGGTAGGGCGGGAAAAAGTTAAATCAGTTTAAAATGGAATAAGTAAAGATTTTTATACCCGTTTCGTACAGGAAAGGTTAAATTTTGCGTAAAAATATAATTTTTTTCACTGAATTTAATGAAGTGCATAATATAGTGCCTATATATTTTATATTATGCGAAGTTGTACCCCACGCTGTATATATTATTTTAATTTAAGGATGAAATGATGAGTTATGTAAACACACTGAGTACGAATATTAATAATATGCATAATATTAAGTGGGTTATTTGAATATATGGAGTGATGCATATATAGATATATGTGTAAAAAAAACGACAAGCATCTCATACGATTATTTTAAAATCCCATCTATATTTTTTTAACTTGAATATCGTATCTCCCGTATAGGATATAATATATTTATTTGGCATTACATTTTTTTTTTTTAAATTCATATCTACAAACTATATTCTATCGTTGAAAATTATATTTATGTAAGTTTCGATCAAATACCAATTTTTACCAAAAATGACAAAGATATTATGTAGAGTTGATGTATATTAACGGGTATTTAACTATACATTATTTCTAAAAAGTTATTTTGTAAAACGTAACAGTAAATTGTTCACATATTTGATTCAGTGAAAATAAATGAAAATTTGTAGATTTTAATGAAAATTAGGAATTAACTACGCATGCTTTTTATCACGTTTTGAAATAGTTGTAACAAAATTTATTGGATATTGACACTCAATTTGTAAGATAAAATTGATTATATAGATAGCTTAAATAGTCAATTTCGAATAGAGGATATCACTGGGAATACTGTAAATCATTGTAATAGCATTAATATTTATGTATATGGTATGGGTTATCGTATGACATGCAATATAATCGATTGCTTAATGTTCACAAATAAGTAGTGACTCCGGATGTATTTCAAAACTTAATAATATATACTGTATGCGTTGTTGTCATTTGTACACAGTGAAGGGGCAGGGGGAAACCGATAAATATTAAACTTTTATTCGGATTACATGACATCGAATGATAGTGCTATAATGCTATAATCGAATGTATAAACAACATATTATTTCGTGCCGTGTATTGGGCTCGTGGTTTTGTCTGAGTTTCAATTATATAAGACTTATACCGACATTGTGGATGTTTTTGTTCAAACCCAAAAACTATAATACTGAAGTGTTTTCTAAGTCGTCTTTCTCACATCCCACGCTGTACAGCCGTCGGCGACGGAGCTAGAAAGGATATAAAATCTTACACAACGCAGATGATGATTATTATTTGCGGTTTAATCATAGAACATTGTCGGAATAACATTTTCTGAACGGCCGAACGGTCCACATTTGTCTTGCATTGTTTTCCTTTTGTTTTTTTTTTTTTTTTATACTCCCAAGGAAACATTTATCATTTTTATGGTCGGATATTTTCGAGTCCATTAATATCGCGCTGGTAGGGTGGAGGAAAATTAGGTTTTTAAATGCGTTAAGAGAAATAATAAAAAGAGGGCCACGCGGAGTTTGCGCTACTTTATACGACACACACCGGCAGTTGTACGTATCAAACGTGCGCTTTTGTAATATACCCTCTGCGCCGTAAATACGTAGATATTTATGAGGGTATAATAATATTATCTGCGTGAGAAGAGGTGGCAAATATTACGTAGTCAAATTTCCAGACACTCGAGCGCTGTTCCATAGGTAGGTATACGCACTGGCCACTAACTGGAGGAGGCAATCGTCAACACTATAATATCTACGGTAATATAATTAGAAGGTTACGAGTATAATATAGGTAGATACCTTGCACACCAACCCGGTACGTTCTTCGGTGTAGCGGGGATAGTCGGAATGTATGCTAACCAATGCTATGCCGGCTTCCTCGCCCACTACGCCGCTATCGCCTCGGCCACCTGAACCGCTAACCTTCATCCCACTAGTGATCGACAATGTCGATGACGTGTGCTTTCGCAGCTGTAACAGAGAACAAAACAATTATAAAATTATGAAAATTACAAGTATGGTTACACGTTAAACAGTGTGGTATGTTCAACCTGATTGTCTAATTAAAAAGTGGTAAAATAATATTGAAATCATCACATTATTGACATTTTTCAAACAAAACGACTACATGAATACAAAATGAAAATAATTGTTGAAAAATTGTAAATTTGTATGATATACTTGTACTAATTCAACATATGAAAAATGATATTGTGCATACAATTTTATTCGATCCTAGAAACGTAATATAATTCATACTTGACTAAGTAGTAATTACTACTATTAATAGTATCAGATTGGCTGAGGGGGCTGATACCTTGTAGCCTTCTCCAAAATTTCAGAACAATTCAAAAATACTTTTAGTGTGCTTTGAACATATTAACCTATCCTACACATCCATGTAAAAATTGTTATTTGTATAAAGGTTGCCGTAAAAGTCTTAAATGTTAAATGTTATAGGTATAGCCATGGCAACAGCAGCTTACCAAAATTATGTGGGATCCTAGTTAAGCCTCCCTTAAAACAAATTATCATCCCCCAAAAGCAAAACCCTGGCTCCACTACTCAGTATACATATTTAAAACTAATCTAACTGCAGTATAGGTAATTCTTATAACCTAATTCCAATAGTATTTTGACTTTTTTTCTCATAGGTTAAATTAAATTTTTAAATCATAAATTTACAAAAAAACTATATTCCCAAAATGGGTTACGAGTTAAACCAATGTCCAAAGACCACTACATTACAGTATTGTTTTATCGATTGTGGACATATTATATAGGTCGAACAATCGTTTTGTTGTCGGAACTATTATTTGATCAATTATTTATTATATTTGGTGTGGAATAGCCGGATATCAATATGATATAGGTGAATGGCATGCATGATACTACAAATGGAAGTTTATATTATTATATTTTAATGATACGCTATAGACCTAGAAGGATTTTTTTCGTTCTTAACAATTATCAAGCATATACACAATATAACTGAAACAAAAAATAATTACCACTGGCATATTATTATAATATGTGCAGATAAAGCATTACGGTAATAAACAAACAAAACAAAACCCGAAATATGCAAATTGCAGATAAAATAAATTGGCCTGCTTTTTGGTTAATACATATTATAATTTTTAATATTTTAATTCCATGTGTAGTATAGTTAGAAAAACATAAATTAAAATATAGATTAAATTACTTAATACATATAAATACTTTTATGACTGTACATCTTCTGCTAACGTATACAATATATACAATGTGATTCTTCGTTAATGTATCAAGACTATACGTTTATGTTTTGGCAAAAGTTTTAACGCATCGTGTTTTAAATGGATTAAAATTAAAGCATTTTTATAAATAGGAAAATGTTGATTAATAAATGCAATCATAATAATTATCATAATTTGCAAAACGTAAAAACGATATTTTCCGTATGGCTTAATGGAAAGACCATCAAGTATATTATACACACTATACCAAGATTTATTTTTGGGCGTTAAGTGTTGGGCGTTACTCTATGGTCCATCTTGTCGGTTAGATCATTAGTTTTTAAGAGGTCACTCTATAAGAAAAATATAAGATTTAGACGTGTGCACTGAACAGCTATGTGAAAAATGTGTTATCAATTTTAAATGTAATGGAAATAGCTGATTTTCATAACTCATAGCTCTGACATCATTACAGAACTTATTTCTACTCTATATATTTACGTTCAATTTTAATTTTCACAGTCAAAAAACTTAATTAGTTTTAGAACCACCCACAAAGAAATATGCCTTTTTGTAACAAAGAATTAGTAAATTAAAAAATTTACATTTATATTATAGGCATTTAATATTAAATAATATCTTAGTTAACCATTTTTTTTAATCGTTATACAGTTATATTAAAGCCAACAAAATGCATGTTTTAATGAAATAAACCTGGGGGTGTAAAAGAAAAATCAATAGAAGCACACTAAATTTGAAACTTTCAGCCAAAATATAACGGAGCAATTATGGTATCTAGAGAACGTAATCTGAATATTGAAATGTATTATTCAATAGCATCATTACGATAAGGTATTTGAATAAGTAATTTGAAAGTATAAATTAATTATTTTTAAAGAATACTTATTAATTTTTTTTTTAATTTGAATACTGTTAAAATACTCATTGTAAAAATTAATGTCAATCAAATACATTCATATTTAATGTTTATAATTATGATTATGAACTAACTGTAGAACATATACGTTATAAGTTCTAACTTATAACTTTACTGGTAAATATATAATAGTGATCAGTTAATATGTTGTTAGTAAAATAATGAATGTGGAAATAAAATTGTATAATATTCCACTGTAAAAGTTTAGACTTACGCAATTATAATTTTTCTAATAAGTCATATTGTACTGTAAACATATTATACGAATTATTGGTGTAAGTGCGTTAACCAAAATGTGAATTTTTTAACCCATTAAGTTTGAATACAACTGTGATCTTACTCGAAAATTCCAGCTATTTGGACAAGGACTAATATTTTTAAGAAATTTCCACATTAAATCCGCCCATAAAATACAATGGGTGTAAAAATAAATGACAAATGAAAGAGAAGAAATCCAAGCCTACCAGGTTCTCTAATCCTATATATTTTCTCTATATTTTTACATTTGAATTTGTACATTTTCGTGTTCAAGGATAGTGGGTATGATGTGTACAAACGTGTTTAGATTTTGTCAAAAAATCTATTTAATGTACGATGTATCGATATTCGAAGCATATTATTTTTCAGGTCTGAGAAATTGCTCAAAATGTTTTATACTTTTATGAAGCCTCATAAATTGATTGTGAATTTAACATAATATAGACAGTACTCACGGTAAGTACTTTAAAATTTAAATATAGGTTCAGAATGGAAATTTTTAAAAATTCATTCAAGTTTTTTGAGAAACCGGTGAAAATATAAATAAAAAATATGCGGTAAAATATTTTAAATACAATTTTGAACAAGCTGGTTTTTTTTTCAACCAACTCGGTTCAAAACTATATTACATGCAATTATTTTACATTGCTTTTAGCATTAATATTTTAAACATATAATAAGTCATGTATATGTATATACTATATATGTATATACAAATATAAGTGATTTATATGCAACCAATTTTAGTTGTATCTCTCTTTTTTGGTGTGAATACAAATATAAAAACTTATCGGGTATTATACTAGAGTAAGCAAAATTAATTAAAAAACTTAAAGAAATATAAAAAACATACCTAAAGGAAGTTTTTCTGCTATATAGGAGGTACCAAGTCTATCTGGAGATAGTAAGTTATTGCAATATTAATATGATCTAAAATATCTTAGGTTGAAAAGTTTAAAATTTTAGGTGTTAAAATAAAAAATTTTATGTATTTTAACCACAAAATAATATAAAAATTGTCATGATTTTGTCAGTAAACATTTGAACTTAGTCGTCTTAAAAAAAATAAAATTTTATCATCTATTTTTAATGATCAATACGACCAGAACAATATTTAAGAAACCTTATATTTTATTTTCGTCATACACACAAACAAATCACACATTATTGTTAAACCATTCGTCGCTCCTTTCAGATTATAAAACGATCAACATGGAACTATGTAGTATGATATAAATATAATTTTAATTTTAATTTGTAACACCCCTTTAACTATAATGATATATTAGAAATAATAATAATCTTACACCCTAAATTAATTGCTTATTTTAATTTATTATCGGGTCTTTTGGATTTTAATGGATCTTTCGATACTTGTTAGACAATGCAAAAACCTCTTTGGACTCGAGTCAGTAGCAAAATACAGAGGTGAACCAAATAACTATACTTGCGGCGCCTTAAGCGCCAGTATGATTTATGATCAGTTTATGTAAATGTCCTGATCCCTTGTATTTTTCCACTAGTTTTGCTTTATTGAATAATGTTTGGCCTTCGTTTCTTCCTTACGGATAATCGAATGATGGTGGTAAAAAATTGAAACCTCTGACCCAAAGCAAAATAATTCATAATATAATATAAACATTTTAGAATTACAATACTAATGTAAAAATTAATGTGAACTAATGGACTTAGCATATTTTCGTTTAGGTTATTGATTAATTAAATTTTCCATGCCTGACAATTGATTTATTGCTAAGAAATTACACATTTTTGTTGTAATCTGGTAATATTATGAATTATTTAGGTAATACAGCACATATTAACCATCATGAATCATTGAAAATGTTAAGACATATAATATCAGCTTATACTACCTAATATTTTTGTATTACGTAACACTTATTCAAATATGATTCAAAAACGATTATATTGAATACCTACATGAAATCTGTGGTAGAACGGCCGTGGCGTTTAATCAGTTTAATATAGTTGTACACCTAAGTTTACTGATTCACCTCAGAATATACGCGGTTGGTCTCATTGTTATAATGTTATATCATAGAATATAATAATATAATAATAGTTTATAATGCTTACATTAATAATGTAGACATTTTGTATTAGTAATACGTAATACGTATTAACAACGCAATTAAATGATAATAATATTATGTATATTAAGGCTAGTTGTCGTTAATTCAATTCCCATTGTCCAATTGTCATAACCAATGCTTTAATAATATTGTTGTTTTAATAAATTATTTTAATATTTTGCTTGTAGTTAGTATCTAATGTGTAATTTGGATTTAAAACCATTTGCGCGTATTATAACACATATTTCACTACCTATATTATAATATATATCCAGGGATGTCCGAGTGACTCAATTAATTGTACCTAACTGGTATATAAGTTATAATTTACACTAAAACTGTGTATTTTGTTACAAAATACAAGACACTTTGGACATTTGTAATTAGTTCTAGGTTACTTGAATACTTAATCAATTATAGTTATTTATGTTTATTTATTCAAGAAAGTAACGAAACTAATCTAGT